ATATTTTATAAAATATATAATACTGAGTCGGGCTGGGCCGGGCTCGGGCCGGGCTTTTTTGACAAATCCTGAGCCCGGCCCGAAACACAGTCGGGCTTACTGTGTTAAGCCCGAGGTCAGGCCCGCGGGCCTAATTATATGACCAAGCCCGGCCGGGGTGCGGGCTGGGCCGTCGGGCTACCCGGCCCATGAACAAGTCTATCCCCTCGCATTGATTTCAACTCTTGAGCAAGTGCATTGACTTGTTTTCTCAACTCTGCCACCTCTTCTTGTGTTTTATTGTTGAGTTCTTGCTCCATGATGTGAGCCACTTGTTTCTTCTTATGGATCCATAATCCAAAGAAGGATCAAGCGTGTACTTTGATACCAAATGGCGTAGTACGAAAACAAACCATGTTCAGAGAAGCTTCAAAAGAAAGAGCAAAAGCTGAAATAAACAGGAAGTTTCCTAATCTTTATATAGAACACCCCTAGCTTTGCCCTAGCTACTCTTTATATAGACTTATACCCTTATACCTCCTACAAAGTAGTTTCCTAATCTAATAGAACACTCATTATTATAACCCTACTAAATCTCTTCAAAAACGAAAGTCCTAATTGAATTTAAATTCAGAAATCTCACTGTAACGCTAACTTGGTAAATATGAACTAAGAAATTCTGTGATGGCGTTAACTTGGTAAAAACGAACTAAGGTAGAAATTCTGAAATGATGGTATCTTGGTAAATATTCACTAAGTTGGGTGGGTGCTGTCACCTCTGCTTCTTACATGTCTTGTAGTCATCCCAACTTGCATAGAGCTTATGAGCTTTCTTCTGTAGTGCATCATCCTCTCCCTATACATACTAAGATGGGTCTTCTAAAACCAACTTCGTAAATGTTTACTCAGTTGGTACGAATCCTGTACTGTATCAGAGTTCTTGTTTATGGTTTATATATTTTTTATCATTTGCCAAAATAATTCCAATCTATGCATTTTATTGACCTCCCCTTCCCCACTCTGCCTGTTTCTCCACAACCATCACCACCGCTCATTGTGTGTGATTTGGTTTTCATTTAGATAAGGTTACCCTATATTCTTTTCTGTTGATCCTATATGGTGACCACTATTCTGAAAATTTGAAGTTACTAAATTTAGTCTTCTATGTTGCCTAGTGGTTGTTTGTAATATTCTTCTCTTCTAGATAGTTCATATGCAGAGTAGGATATCATCCCCAACTTTCTAGACCATTATACACAAATAAAATGGTGTTGCTGACTGATTGTGTTGCAGGTTCCCTGACTCCACTAAAAAAAGTATGATGAGCAAATCTGGAGCAGCACCAGCGAAAGATCCACTACTGTCAGGAATGGGTTCCCCACAAAATGACACTCCAGCCCAACCACAAAATGAAGTAGATTTGGTAATATGAATATAATTACTTCGTGTTGATTTTTGCCCTTTATATTTCACTCTAAAACTCTTTTTTTGCCATGATTTCAGAATCTTTCAGCCAAACTTTATTCTTCTCTGAGAATGCTTCGAACTACTCTTGTTAGAGAAGCAGGAGAAGGGGTCATGGCATACCACATATTTTTGTGAGTTTATTTCATTTAATTCCCTGTTACGTCAGATTCTTTTCTGACACCTTGGATTCAACTCTTGAAAAATTTCCCTGCTTCCATGACTTCAGAAATACTACATTGCAGCAGATCAGCAGGCGGATTCCTAGAACAAAAGAAGAACTCCTTGATATTAGTGGCATTGGCAAGTAAGATTTAGTTCATCTTAGCTATGAATTTTGATTTCTCAATCAATTTTATGTTGAATATAATGTCTGGATTCAGGGCAAAGGTAAACAAGTATGGAGACCGCCTATTGGAAACTATTGAATCTACCATTAGGGAGCATTACAAGTTAGAGAAGGATAGCAGTGGTGATAAAGATAGTACTGAGACAATCAAGAGAAGAAGAAACTCAACTGGTATTTCTGATGCAAGAATAGAAGAGGATGATGACTTTACTTTTACTGTGGCAAGTGACCTGTCAAAGGGAAGACCTGCTAAGCAAGGGCGGAAAAAAGGTACAGGACCCAAGGATTTCAGTTTGCCAAGATATGATGATGAGCAATTCCTTGACGCTGATCTAGATTTGGAGTACAATTACAATGATAAAGACAATGGTTCATACGAAAAGGCTGATCAAAATAGTGAAGGCAGAGTGTTACCCTCATGGGCGATACCATGAAACAAAGTTCACAATGGAGGTCCTAATTGTTCCAGGAATTGCGTATAAGATTGCACATTGTGGAAGATGAGCTCTGTTCAGTGTATAGTTTTTGTAAATCCCAATATTCCATTTGCCAGTCATTCTGGTGGTTGGAATCATGTTTTTGTTCCATTGACATTGATAATTGAGGAAGTACAGATATATTATGACATGTATAGTATAGTTTCCAAAGCATTGCTGGTTGAAGTTTACATGTATGCTTTTTGTTCTGATGGAAGCAGGTTGTCATTTTGTACTTAACCATTGGTTATCTTTTATCTGCAATATGCATTTTAGGGGTAAGCAAGAAAAACCTAAAAACCAAATCGACCAAAAAACTTGCCGAAATTGAACTGAAAATTCGATTAATCAAACCGATCGATTTGGTAGTTTAAAAAAATTGAAAGTACTGGTTTGGTTTTTTCTAAATCGGCGGTTAACTGAATCGATTGGTATATATATTTTTATGTATATTTATATATATTATATATGTTTTATATATATTTCTAGTGTTTTATTATATATTTATATATTGTTTATAATATATTGTAAATAATAAAAAACTGACAAATTGAACTGATGGTTAATCGAATTGGTCAACAGGTTAATCGATTGGCTTTGGTTTGGTTTTGGTTAATGGTTTTCCAAAAATCGGTAACCCTGGTTTGATATAAAAAATAAGCCCATGGTTCGGTTAACGAATTGTGAGCACCCCTAATACATTTTGGGCTTGACCTCAATTCTTTTCTTTCCTCCGAAGTGGTGGGAGGGGGGCTGTTATGATGGGGTATTTTTCAATTTCACCAAATTAGCATAATTGGAAGGTATTATTTGTAGTAAGGATAAAAGTATCGTGTATCGTATTGGACAACTCAGATATGGATATGAATACTGTTATGCTTTGGAAACGTTATAAATACAATATCGGGACTCTAAAGCTGAATTTTTTGTTAATAAGGTATAAACACATGAGAAATGTACACTTTAGTAGATTATATGAAGAAGACATTGCAATCAACAATATTAGGAGTCTAAAATATGTAAATATTATACAATAATCACTTATTATTTACAAATTTTGTTTAATTTTGAGAAAATTTATTTATTTAGTATTTTTATATAAATAATAATTCTATTTTTTCAAATAATAAATATGTTTTCATTTTCAACATATATTTTTATTTTACATATAATTGTAAAATAAAACATATAAATTATTTAAGGTAGAAAAATCTAGTTATTTTCATTTTTATTGAAAATTTTATTTATGTTGTATTTTTATATAAATAATGACTCTACTTTTTTAAATAATAAATATGTTTTCATTTTTAACATATAATTTGTATGTAAAGCAAAACATATAAACATTTAAGGTAAATAAAATAACTTATTTTTATAACTTTCAATTCTTATTAAATTTTTGGGGAAATTAAATCTTAAATTATTTATTTTAGACTTTATAATTATAATTATATTTCAGTTTAATTATAGTTTTCATTTTTTTATTGAAATTCAAAAACAATTGAAAGGTGGTCAATATATAGTTTTGTCAAACTAGCCACCAACACACTTTCATATCAGTACGCATTGGACCCAAGGTTCAAAGTATGGTAGGGCATATCGGCTAGTATTGGCCCTTTTTTTAGCTTAATTTATTTATTTTTTTATTTTGGTCCAGAGGGACCGGTTTAAGTCCAAGCTACCCTCTAAACTAGGCCCTGACCTGATACAATCCCTATAGGGGCATATCGGGAAAGTTCTAATACATGACGATTTTTTGAACCTTGATTGAACCCTATCCATTGATATGGTGCAATGTAACTAGTCTTTTTTTTTATTTTTTCATCAATAACACTTTCATTACTTCTGCAATGTAACTAGTCTAATCGCTTTCAACATGAATCTCCACTGAGTGGCCAATTTCCTACAGCCTATTCAATAATTATTTATTGTTATCATTTTAAATGGATTTTAAAAGAAAACTCTAGAATAATAAAAATCAATTTAAAGTTAAAATTTTTATTAATTTTCACTAATCTTTTAATAAATTTTATTATTTAAATGAATGAATTTACTTTGAGAGAAAGAAGAAGAGAAACTGAACCATAATACATGATATTAACATGTGGGCGTTGTGTTTGTCATTAATTAGCTTTCGAAAGTAGTGATATCAAATTCTATCAAAAGATACTTAGATAAGACTTGTTGGATATTCACATTCCGTCATTGTTAACTTGTTATTGTTTTGAGTAGGTGGTCTACGACTTGCAGCCAGTCTTAAACTCTCAATCAGGGGTGGAGCCACAAGTATAAGTGTGGGTTCCTTCTGCTGTGCCCCTCCAATCTATTAGACTTGCACCATAATGGTACTACGATGTCATAATTAAATAATAAAAATTTAAAAAATAGATAGAAATATAAAAAATAAAAATACATAAAATTTATAGACAAATTTGACATATCTAAGATATTATAAACTTATCATATCAAACAAAAATAAGTGTGATAAACAAGTATTATTTTTAAAATTAACTATATAAATAGAATAAAAATTTAATTTTTCCTAAAAATAAGATTGTTTTTGTTTTTTCAAGTCAAATAGGCCAGCACATGATGTCATAATTATCTAATAAAATCTTACAAATAAACATATATAAAAATATAGAAAACACAATAATTTATCTATAAAATTTGTGTACATCTCTAATATTATATTTTTATCATATAAAAAATAAGAGTAAATTACAAAGACCCCCATACTTTTTCTATTTTTTTTTTTGCCTTTTTTTTCTCTTAAAACTTATTTGACCTATTGTTTCCCCTTTCTTCTATTCTTTTCCCCTGCAACACTTGGAGCCTGAGCCAGCATCACGTTCCGACCTAAAGACCCCATCGCCCCACTAATCCTTCCTTTGTCATCCACGAGTCCTGCAATAATGGTAGCCACCGACGTTCTAATTGGAAATCTAGAATTTCTAGACATCTAGCCAACTACCAGTTAGGTTTCTAGTTGGAAATCTAGGTGGATGACCATTTAAAGTTTCGAAGAGCTACAACCCAATAACTCATCTCATTGTTTTGGCTACAACCCAACGCCGCCCCCTTCAACACCATCCCGTTGGGCAGCTCCAAGTATGGAGCATACCAGAGTCTCATGTTCAGCGCAGGCACCAGCATCTTGAAGCTGTCGAAGCAGACAGGGGCTTTCATACAAAGAACACCCAGCCCGTTGGCGTCAGTSAGGACAAGGCTTTCCAAGGTGTGATGCTCAGCGATAATTGGCTAGAGCAGGTAGTGTCTCGCTGATGCAGCTATCAGAGAACTGATTGTCCAGACGACTCTCAATTTTAGGCCCCTGTTGGTGTAGAACGACTCAGGGATGTTCCCATTGTCATCTCCGTTTCCAACACACAAGCCATCGCTACCAACGTCATTTTCCTGCACGGATGAAGATTTGGTGGTTCCTGGAGAAAGGACAGATGAAGCACCGAGTATGACGCAGGTGTCAAAGGGTGGATCTGAAATCTGCCCTCCATTTAAGCAAAACGCCATCCTCGATTCCTAATTCTCCTCCAGGAAGCTCGATTCGGAGGCGATGGATCTCATTGATGTTCCTCAACACCTGGGTCAGGGAGTGGTGGGTATCGCCACCTGCTTCCATTTCCTTGTCATCACCAACACCTCCGCCTCCCCCACCACCACCACTGCTACCACCGTTTAGAGACGAGGTAGACGAGGATTTCTTAGGGCCGAGAAATTGACCAAGGGCCTGGAGAGGCTTAACGATGCCACCGAAAACAAAACGGACGAGGTTCGAGAAGACGCCTCGCGTCTTATAAAAAACGGCAGCCCCCGAAGAAGCATTTTCGTCAGAGATGACGCAGTCGACCCTCACAACAACGTTATCCACCTGAGGAACCAGACCATGGAACCGACGGGACACGACGCAGCAGCAGCCCAACGCCTTCACATCTCCGATCTTGTTGAACACAACCAGAAGCAAAGAGTCCGGTGCTACCCTTCTAGTACTAGCCTGAGATCGACTCTGACCGACGACGAATGGTGGCGGAACCACCGCGGCCGTAGTCGATGCTGCTACCTCGATCACTTATTTGTTGTCTCCTTCAGATTTCTTCTTGTTATCATTGGCGCAACTGTTGTTTAGTTCTTCGTTAACCAACAAAGTTTCTCGCATTTTCCATTTTCACCACTCAACACCTGCAATGTTTCCTCGCAAGGGTACTAAGGGTTAAAAAATATTGTAATGGTTTTTTTGGACGGAAGGCTAATCGAAGGGGGTCTTTGTCTCACGGTCATAGCAAGGGGGTCTTTGTAATTTATCCAAAAAATAAATATAATAAATAAGAAATATTCTTTTAACAGTGAAAATGAAATATAAATTCTACATCCACCAGCTCACCATGCTTTGATTAATTATATTTTTTTAAATGATTTTAATAAAAATATTGAAATTATTAATTTTATCTGAAATTGCCACATGCGTATTTAGTAAATATTGAAGGATAAAGGACTTATACATACCTTGAGTTTTCATTAATTGACTTAAACATACTTGAGTTTTTCAAAAAAACTTAGATATACCTTGTGGGTTGATCCCACTGGACTTAAACATACTCTCATTTTTCTCTATTTTTCATGAAGCTCTTTTAATATTTTAAAATTATATTTTTTGCCCTTTGAAAATAAAAGACAATTTAAAACAATATACTTTGTTTCTACAAGTACAACAGTCTTTACAATATATAACACAAAGGAACAAAGGTAGACCTCTTAAATCTCTTACCTGCACGTGTAGGAAGTTGGTTCAAGTTGTAGAGACTAGAACTTTCTATTAAGCTTGCGCAGATCAAACTTTAAGTGGGGGCCGGTGGTTGATCCATGGTGTAGTAGGGGACGGGTGGTTGAGGATAACAATACAAATGCAGTTTGGTGATGGTGGAAAATTGGAGACCGGATATGCTCCTCACAGAGTGCATCTCACACGGACCTCATGAGTTCATCTCACCATGTATTGGGAATATCCCATCCTTTGTATTGTTATTCATGGGGAGATGTTTCCTACACGGTAGGATGGGGCTGTGAGGTGCAAATTGTAGGTTGAAGGAACAAACAAGAGAGAGAGAGAGAGAGAGAGGTGATGAATTGTTTTCATTGCCACCTCTGTGAAGGGGTAGGAAAAGGAGAGAATAGAAAGGGAAAGAAAGAAAGGAAAATGTG